ACAATACCTTTGTGTTCCCTTGCAATTTTTTTGTGTTACCTCGCAATATCTTTGCGGTACCTCGCAATATCTTTGCATTACCTCGCAAATTATTTTGCGTTCCCACGCAAAAGATTGATTTGGATATGAACTGAATTAAATAGACTTTTATTTTGAAATATCTGGTTACCAAAACAGGATGTGTCGCAACAAGTTTGTGAAATTGATATTGATGTTGCGTGGCTGCACTGTGTTAAAATATCGGCGTATGGCATACTTCCATGCGTGGCTGTGTGATATATTCATTCTGAAGCTGAATTAAAGTAGTAGGCTAACTCGCTAATGGTAAACATGTGAGTTTGTTAATAAACTGGCAGGCACAACAGTGATAATCTACTTTTGCGAGGGAATGCAAAAAAATATCTCCCATGTCCCCTTGCAGGCTCTGTACAGATTTCAATACATTTCTGCAAAAAAATGCAGAAGAATTAGAGATTTATAGCCTCAGATCTGAGGTGACTGATTCAACGATGACGCTTCATCCCTCAGACAGAAAGAAGACAAGTGTTTAAGTTTAAATTGACTGTGGATTTGATCATGTAACCAGGTTTATTCTTTAATTTGCAGTACGAGTACTTTCCATACCAATGTACTGTTTTTACCTTGTGAATTTTACGAGGCTCAGTGATGTCMGTCTGAGGATATCCAGACTCTGGTCGTGCGTGATTTAGGAGACACAGCATGATCAGGAGAAGGAAGGTGAGGTAGAGGACAGAGAGATGGATGAGGAGCATGAGGAGGGGGTGGGGGGCGGGGGGAGAGGAATCACCAAAATAAGACAGGGAAGCTGGAAGCAGAGAGATGAATGAGGAGAGAAAATATGAACGAGGGAGCAGACAGGTTGTTTTTGTAAGAAATGCCTCATCAGGGATCTTCCCTAAATGCCTACGACTCTGAGAGTCCCCCTACAGCTTCCTGACAGCTTCTGCTGCCGCTCAGAGGCCTCCCGGGGGCGGGYTCTCACAGTTGGATGTGGTTGATGAACAGTTGATGAGCTGTCAGAGWGGACCAGGCAGTTGTTGCTGCTGTCAGGAACAATGTGACCTCATTCTTATCCCAGTCACGGTTTGCCTGTACATGTGTTTTTTTTTAAGACGAACACTTGAGCATTTGCCAGAAAATTGCTCCAGAGGTGGAAAACATTCTGTTTGATGATGTTTGCCAAAGTAAATTATTCCTAGTTATTTTGTATTGCCAAGATTGTCTGTATAWTTACTGTGCCAAGACGCTACCGCAGGAAAAAGACCAAGTGAGACAGCCAAACAAAACAAAAAACTCCCTATTATAAAAACCGAAGAAATTAAAAACTAGCGTTCCTTGAAAAATAATCTGCTGCATTTTATATCAAAGTTTCAAAGARTTTGTGCAAGTTTTGCTGAAGGTTTTGGCTTCCTGGTTTCAGTAGCCATCTTGAATTAGGCTTCAATAAAATCCATCCAGTTGTTTGAGTCTTTCATYAACACATGAATACACACAACCACATGATCATCCAGGGCTCTCAAGATTTGATTTGGGCTTGGGGATTTCGAGCAGCTAACCACGGTTGCCAACTTCTCAGTAAGAAAAGTCGCTAAATGATGTCATCGATTAATTTGCGTATTTGGACATTTGTCATTAATTGTGATCTAGGTTGTAGGAATCAATATCGAAGAGAAAAAAGCATGTTTAGAACTACAAATCAACTTATTAAAATTATTTATTGTTTAATGCTTTTCATCCAAATTACATAAATACATTTTGTGAGAATATCAAATTTTAATAATAACAGACGGTTAGATTTTACAGAAGCACACAGGGTGGACGAGGTGAAGAAATGACTGAGTTCAGAGATTTATTTTAGTGCGAAAGTGTCAGTGAAAAAAAATTAGAGTAAAAATTACATCCTGCTCTGTGAGTCAGGTGGGAGCAGATCTGAGCATGTCTGGTTCATTTGCAGAGGTCTCCTCTCAGTTGACTGCAGCTGGGGTTGCTGCGTGAGGCTTTTAAAAGGCAGATTAAACTCTGATGCTGTTTTTTTTTACAACAGAAGGAGTGACCAAATATTGTGATGAATCAGGAAACTGGATACAAGCAGGCTCCACTTGTGAARCGACTTTAAAGGACACATTTCAGGTATGTCTTTGTTGGATGTTTGCCTGGAAGAACCAAAAGGAGTTGAAACAGCTTGAATCACTTTTTAATGCAAATCAGTCAACTGGTTGTCATTTTTGTGTCCAAAAGGTAATTCGCTTTTTAAGGGATGCTGCGGAGGAGCCAGCCGCCGAGGACATGCGGGTCAAAGCGGAAAAACTCCTTCTTGAGAARGAGAAAAAATGCCTCGAGAAAATCAAAAACGACCCACCTCGTGATAAAGGCCTGCACTGTAGTCGTAACTGGGACGGCTGGCTCTGCTGGGACGATACTCCAGCAGGAAACTATGCTTCTCAGAACTGCCCAGATTATTTCGATGACTTGGACCCAACAGGTGAGCAGTGAGGCCTTTAGCTTTGTTTCCCTGATAACTGGTTACCTTTTGATGATAAATTGAAATCGGCTTTCCAGAAAAGGCGACTAAGCAGTGTGGAGCTGATGGAAAATGGTTTCATCATCCAGAGAGCAACAAAAGTTGGACCAATTACACCCTCTGTTCAACCAGCCGTCACAAGAAAGTTAAGGTAATGTGTTTCGTTGAACAGGATGAGTGACTGGTTGGTTTAGTTTATTCAACAATTTGTCAAAATCATTTTTTTTCATCCTAGAAGCTAAAAATACGTGAAAATGAACACAAATGTCTTCAAAAAATGAAAGAAGACCCACCATTTKACAAAGCAGGTATCTTCTGAAAACGTTTGTGCGAATTAAGTTTCATGTTCAAGAATGAACAAGAGATAAGTAAAAGGATGTTTTCGTGTCCCTGTGGGTTTGTTTGAGGTCTTTACTGCAGTCGAAACTGGGACGGTTGGTTGTGCTGGGARGACACGCCAGCAGGAACCTACGTCTCTCAAATCTGCCCCGATTATTCTTCTGATTTCAGACTTTCAGGTGAGTGTCGTTCAATGCAGTTAAAAGATGTTAACGTCTTCGAATACCACAGACACGCATTGCTCAATAATTAGGTGCATTTATCCTGTAATTCTCAGAAAATGCAACAAAGTACTGCGGAGAAGACGGGCAGTGGTTCCGCCACCCAGAGAGCAACATGACGTGGACCAACTATACTCTGTGTGTGGGCAACGGCAAGGAMCGGCTGCTGGTAAAACAAGTCAAAAGCATCTTGGCACCATAYCGGTTAATGGTAGCTAAACTTTTGCCAGCAAAAAGCTTGAAAATGGAACATTTTGAAGATGGCGGCATGATTAGTTACAATAAAGGATGCTCTGCATGTAGAGATGTGAGCACTGTAATCTGGTTTACTGTGGGTTGCAGCCTACATAGACCGCATCCCATGTAGGCCACACCCTTCACAGTCTGCGTAGGCTGAAAACCAGCTGTGAAATGAGACTGTCCAGTCTTTGGATGATGTGTGTTTGTGTTACAATGGTGTTACGTTGTATATCATGCCTTCAGACTTAAAATGTGTTCGAACTTGTATTCACACTTTTTTCACATGAGTTGTAACTTCACAAAAAGCAACAAAAATTTCATAGGCTAAATAGTGAAACATACATTAAAAGCAAATTTTTTGGTCCATAATGAATTTCCAAACTCTGCCGTCTTCGCCTTTCTGTTTYGRTTGATGACMGTGWAATGAATCCTGGAATATTGCTAGCCAATCTAACCAACTCAAGGAATCCAATGTTGCAATTATCTAAATTTCACCCTCCGACRCACTAGGTGGTGATAGTGTGCTGATTTACCAAAAAGGTTTATTTTTTTATTGGTAGAGAATTAAACCAAACTGAGATTATTTTACAAATATTCCGAACAGTTTAGTCGGACTTCAGTACATTATCAAAATCCAGGCCTAATTTCTTTCTGTATCACTTTTCAGGATGCATTTGGTAGAAAAACAGTAAAAGGTTAAAGTGTAAGGMTTTAGTCGCACATCAATATAAGCCTATGATCCCAAAGACTGGACTAAAGCACAAACTAATTACATTCAGGTTTTAAAGGGATAGTCTAGTCATTTTCGAAATAATGTTTTGTCAAGTAATTGTCYGTAGTTAGTACATTATCAGCCTTGATATCAGTTAAAACAGGGGRTCTTAAGCCGTTTGGGTCTGGAGACCCCTTAGAAGGGCGAAAAAAATTCCAGGGACCCCCTCATAAACCCCATGCTGTTTTAAAAGATACATTATTGTCAATTCAACCCCTAAATGCCATGAGAATATGTATTTTTATTAAGTTTACCATGTTTGTTTTATTAGTTCATTGTTCTCCATGCATTTTTTAAAATAAAAACCAAATTAAGTGGACTGTACTTATATAGCATTTTTCTATCCATCCAGGATACTCAAAGCTCTTCACACTACAGTCTGTGTCCTCATTTACCCATTCACACAGCACTCTATTAGGTCTCTACAAAGCTACATGTACAATCACTATGGAGGCTAATCAGTGCCAAACACATTCATACACTGATGAGACACACATCAGAGACATTAGGGGTGAAGTGTCTTGCCCAAAGGGCACAACAACTGAGACAGCTGGACGGGGGATCGAACTGGCAACCTTCCGGTTCCAGGACAACTCCCCTAACCACTCTGCCACAGCCGCCTAAAGTTAACATTTTAGTCAACTTTTCTGAGGACCCCCAAGATACCTCTTGCGGACCCCTGGGGGTCCAGGGACCCCAGTTTGAGAACCTCTGAGTTAAAAAGCACAAAGCCATTTTAACAAGTTTTTCAGGCCAATTAGCTATTATTAAACCTCTTCATTGAAAAAAAAAAAGCATATTCCTGTTACTTTTTGTTTCAATTGATACYGTTTTAAAAAGCTGTTCTTATTGTCTGGAACACTGAGGTCAAAGTTTTATACAAAGAAAACAGTTTGAGAAATTTCACAGCTTATATCTCACCGGAGCTTTTTAAACCCAGTGTGCCATTTTTTTAGATGGTGAGCTCAAGTTTTCCAAGTTGCCACATTTCTCAAGTTTGAAAGCGTTTTTTTTTTTTTTTTTTCATTCTGATGCAACCTCTGCTGGTTTGCACAGAAGGAGAACATCTGTCCATTATCTATCAGCAGCACTYCCTATTCGCATGATCAAGCATATGAAGTCTGCAAAAACAAAAAAGCTTCTTGAAGGAAACTTTAATGTGACAGAACTATAAATCCACACTTGAGCAAAGACATTTAACAAAAAAATTAAAAAGCACTTGGACATGAAGAAAAGGGTTGTTATTTAATCAGACAACCAGATGCACAACCATATTACGTAAAGTWCGAGCTGTATAACTTACTCAAAATAAAAATATTCTGTCACCTCAGGTACACATTTTAGCAACTGACAAAACATTATTTGTTTTATTGAAATAGCATGATCAGAAGCAGAGATGGTAAAGTTTTCAGTCGCTGTTTCATTATTCATGTCTGTGTATGTTTATAATCCTCTGTGTCCGTGTGCTTGATCCACAGGCAGCTGCTCAGTTTTCCAGGGAGGCTGAGGTGGAACCCACCACCGCCAGTCCAGTGGATCATCAACAAAATCAGGAAATCGTGCGGAAAAAAATCCTGGACAGCCAGTACAAATGTTTTGAGAAAATGAATCGGGATCCACCTTACAACAAATCAGGTGAAGCTTTGTGAGGCTGCTGAGTCAGCATTCACATTGCAGTTTTCCTCTTTAGTTTCTGTCTTACTATGGCTGTGTCCAAAACGGCAGGACGGGTCCTCCGAAGGCCGAATTCATCGTCCGCATACGTCAAAGCGCCGTGACGAAGGACGTCCAAAACCGAAGACTCCTCCGATGCAGCCGACAAATACTTCCTTCCTTTTCCCCGATTTGAAGGACAGGTCCGATGGATCCTTCCCGGCCCAGCGTATCCCATAATGGCTGTGTCCAAAACGGCAGGACGGGTCCTCCGAAGGTCAAATTTGTCGGCCGCATACGTAACAGCGCCGCGACGAAGGACGTCCAAAACTGAAGACTCCTCCGATGCGGCCGACAAATACGTCC